ACCACAACCACAGCACTGAACTCTGGGAGTGTGTCTGCTTTAGTCAGGGCTGTAAACCTGTAGTGCAGGTAATGTTTAACTGAAAACACAAAAAACTATGAAAACAAACATACACACAACACGTTTTGTCCAAGACTGAAGTCTATTGTTCGCACTACAGTGGCAAAAGCCATGCACAACACAACAGAGCTCCTCTTTAATAAATACGGCACCTCGTCTTTGTAAGGGCAATGTCTGATTCAGCCACACAAAATTAAAAACGATGCTGCATGTAAAGTGGGGTAGCTGTTGATGCATACAAGTAGGCCTATAGCTTTTAATGCGATTGATCCATGTTCAAATCCGCCTCTTCAAACTCTTCCCAGCACACATTAGATCAGAAAGGCATTTGCTTTCAATTAAGAAAGTATTCGAAAAGTGGAACTAATATGCACAACGTGTTTAATAATGAGGTATATCGGGTGTAGGAAGGGCTTTATTATAGCAATAAGGCGACATCTATTTAATCACTAGAATCATTTACACGCTAGTATTGCATCCTGTTAATCTACAACAATACTGAGGTGCAAATAGTAGGCTACCTGCCACCGCTTAAGTATAAATAGTATCTAGCTACTTACACTTATTGCCAAGAAAATAGGCTACTGCAACTTTTACATAATAAAAAATAAATAGAACATATTTTCACAGTGTAAACAGCATATCGCTAAGAAAATACTTTTGTGGTCACTTAGTGTAAATAGCATCTATCTCTAAGAAAATATGCTTTCACTTTGGCATCAGAATGTTTTTTACAGACTCTTGAACTTTGTTGGATTCATAACACTTAGGCGTAAGGTGTAACGTTTTAAAGCCTTTTTTTTCACTGCACCAGGCTTTTAAAATGCCACTTTAAATTCGATTAGTTATATAAATTACTTGGGTAAAAATCTGTTTTTTTAAACCTTAAAACCAAATATTCATCGCAGCACGTGGAACGATAGGCGAAACACAATTTTACAGTCTGCTTTCATTTCCCATCCCTCACAAAACTCATCATACAATCACTGTGTTTTGTTGTTGTTTTCATTCTTTTTTGGCAAGATTTTAAAAGTAGCCCAATTCGACTAAAAAACGCGGAACAGTCAACCCTGAACGCTTCCAACTATGAAGCACAGGTTGATCATCCATATAAAAAAAAGAAAATAAAAAATATTTTTTTTAGATAACCGGAGACAGATCATTTGATTTAGTGTAGACAATAAAATACTTAAATCTGAAAAAGATTAAATTGAATTTACTGTAGGTTCCAAAAAAGTTTTCACAGTGTTGCTGTAGAAAGAACACTTTTTGGTTCCACCAAAAAACCTTTCAGTGACTAGACATATTTTATTTTAATAATAATTTTAACATTTTAATAATCTATTTATAAATAAAAATAGCTTAATTTGTGTTCCGAAGATGAACGAAGGTCTTACGGGTTTGGAACGACACGAGGGTTCATTTTGGGGTGAACTATCCCTTTAAATATGTTTCAATGATTAAGTCATATTTGAGGTGGATGAATGACAGGCGAGCGTTTGGATCAATCTGTTCGTCACAGACATGCTTTTTTTGCCTTTTGCCGAACTCATTCTTCACCCTTTTCACATTACATATCACATAGAAAAGGCAAAAACCTGAAAAGTTTAAAATAAAGTGCCTCATCTGTGTTTATTGGGTAGGTTTAGGGAGGGCTTTATTGTCCCAATAAGGCTATTTTCACTCAATGCAATTTTTTCTGTAATTAACAGACTAAACATTTTAGTCGACTAGCCTTTAGTCTAGCCTCTTCTCGTCGACTCATGTTAAGTTGACTATTAAGGGGGCAGCCCTACCTTTGTGTGAAGGACAAGGCTCGGCTCTCATCTCTCTTCCAGTTTGATCACCATAACCGCTCGACTGACCTAGAAAAAAATACAGTCCATTATATAAAAGCTTTAGCTTGAATATATACAGCAATTTTGCAATTCTCATTTGCTGTGTTCCTTGCAGTTTGTGATCATCAAATAAAATATTTGTAATGTCATAAAGTATATACAGTCAAACATCATACTTTTTTTTAAAAAAGTCTTTAAAATAATGCTATTTAAAAACTAAACATTAAAAAGCAAAAGTGTTGAATATTTATAACTCACCACTTGACCTTTTCCTTCGGGAGATGCAGTAACAGATCACGACGAGAACTAGAATTGAAACTGGTATTAATACTGCTTTTAAAGCCCAATGAGATTCTGTTTCACAGTCAGCACCATTTCCAGCTGCAAAAAATAAATAAAAATACAAATATTGAAAATGCATTTGTAATGCAGCTGTAATTGTGTGTGACCAGCAAGTGACTTGTACTGAGTTTCATCTGTTATTCACACAGAGTGTATAAAAGCCATTTTTCACACATTCAATCAAAGATTAGTTTCTGGTGATATTTACCCCATTCTACTGAAGCTGGTTCTGTCAGACTGCTGTGAATGACAAAACAGTCATAAAACTCCTTGTGGTTTCTGTCGATCTCTACACTGGATCTGAGCTGAAAGGATCCATCAGCATTTGGTCTGATTCCAGAAGATGTTTGGTCCTTAATTTTAATTCTGTACACTCTAATGTACATCTCAACATCTCTGGGATAGAAACCAGTGGCCAGACAGCTCAGAAGCAGCTTGTGTTGATCACCAGGAGCTTTCACTGCAAAGACACGAACATCCGGTGGAGCTGAGCAGAAAAAAATAAAATAAAATAAATAATGCAATTAACAAATAAACATTTACAAATAATTTAATAATTTCAGATACAAACCCAGAAAGTTATATCAAACACAAAGTAAGGATAATTCAAAATTATGATTTTCAACTCTTTTACTAAATGGTGATAAATCTACATCTCTGTACAATGAGAGAATTAGACAACCTCTTGAACTTATTTCACGCTCACAAAGACTTGTTACAGCTAATTAAAGTGATTTGATCAGAACGTACTCTTTCTGCTGTTATTAAATGTGGAGATCCAGTGCATGCAGGTCTGGAGGTAATGCTGCAGGAATTCATTGCGTTCTGTTTGCCGATCCCATTTCATTTTAGTTTCTTCAGCTTTGGGGTTTTTATCAATCCACTGCAGAGCGTCAGAATTAAAGACAATAAAATCCTCTCCATCAAATCCATATTCAT